CCCTATAGCCACACTATAGGACTGAGCACATATGCTAGACACTGGGAATAAGATGATGAAGCGTTCCCCTCCACCCCCCAGCCCTTGAAGTGTGTAAGCTAGAGGCTGTGCTAGAAAATAAACAAGAAAATAAGAAGATGCTTCAAAAAGTTCATTAAAAAATTGAAATAAATGATAATGGAATTTTTCCATGAACTTTCTGAAGCCCCCTCGGTAAATAAAAGCTTATAAGAAAAGTCTATAATTAAGCAAGTGGGTGTGGTTTTAGTAGTATTTCAAGAAGTCATTAACATGCTAGCTACTTTGACATCCTTCTCCATGTACACAAAGGTGGACCTCCAAGGAGTTGGGGTATTTTTTCTAGATGTGTGACTGTGTTGAATAAAACAAGGTGAGATGGGGAAAGTTTTTCCATACCAATGTGAAATGCTTTGTATTGGGATTCAAACCCTCTCAGAGCAAACTGTTCATTCTCTAAACTTCCTCCAGAAAGTTTGGCATCATCACTGAGTAGTGGTGGTGGTGGGGTTATGTGCCGTGGAGTCGATTCCGACTCACAGCGACCCTGCACAGGGTTTCTGAGGCTGTAATCTATCCGGGAGCAGAAAGCCTAATCTTTCCCCCGCAGAGGAGTGGTCCCCTACCTAACACAGTAGTGAGTTAATAAATACGGAACAAAGAGGAGAGGAGAGTTTAGAGGAAAAAGAAACATTTTGGAATCACTTTAATGTCTGGGCGTTGATGCCCCTAAATAGCTCTCATTTTACAGGTCAGTTACTTTTCTTGGAAGCTATGGCCAAGAGGAGGAAGAAGGTCTGGGGTTGAGTTTGGAGGTGGTTGAGTTCTGGCTGCCAGAAACGGACTAGCACTTTAGAGTATGCCTAGAAGCTGGTGAAGCTAGAGCCTGAGGGCTGAGGTGGGGACAGGAGTCCTAATCCTGCCTTGCTGTGAGAGTGGGGAATATGAAGCCCTGCCTCATGAGGGAAGGGAAGCTTGGGACCTGGTGATTCTAGGAAAAGGGCTGGCCATAGTGGCATGGAACTGACCTCTGAGTTAATAAAGGTGGTGCGTAAACAAAGGTGTCATAAACAAAGGAGGGGGCACACGGTGTGGGAGGGGCACGCGGTTGCTAAGGTGCGCGTGCATCAAGGGCTGTCATAAAGGGTGTGCTCCCGCTTCGGGTGCAGTACCAGCGCTTCATTGGCCTGGGTCACTGCACCCAGGAGCCTCCGCTTGTCATGGCCCGACAGTGCGTCTGGTCCCTGTGGCTCCTACTTGCGCTGCAACCCCTTTGGCTACTGATCCTGGCTGCCCCGCTTCCAGAGTTGGCCCGGGACCTGACTAAACCCCGGTCTTCGCCCTCCCATGATCACCTACCCGAATCAGCCCATAATCTTATATCCTTGCCTGAGCCAGAGGGCTCTGACTACATGGATCCTCCCGCTCCAGCCCAGATGCTGGCCCCGCCTCAGGAATTAACTGAGACTTTGGACATGGATTCAGCTACAGAGCCACCCTCAATGCCAGACCAATTTGCTGGCACACATCAGGATCTTAATGACCACCTAACTCCACATCAGAAGCTTCCAGAGGTGGGTCCTGTGCTAGACCTGGATCAGAAACAGGCCTTAGCTCTGCCTCGTCAACTCAGAAGAAAGATTGAAACTCCAGGTATGAGTCAGGCTGAAGATCACCAGTCATTTGAAATACTTGTGTCGTCTCTAGATAGTCATAGTTCAAGAGCAACTAAGTTTATTGTTTCACCTCCAAACCTGAAAAAGGATCTAGCTCAGCATAGACGACTTGCTAAAGTTGTTGTTGGAACTTCAGGCCAATTAGCAAAAATGACAGACCGACTAAATCAACCCGAGGATGACTACCTTCTAGACCCAAGTTTTGATATATTATATCCTCCAGACAGCCTACCCCTAGAATTCCTAGGGACCCCAGCTTCACCAATCTCTTGGCATAGTCAGCCTCCAGAAACCCCGAGGAGGTTGGATTTGAGCATACTCACCCTTCTGACGTGGAAGGTCCTGAGTTTCCTGAGGAGGAGAAACCTTCAGTCCAACAAGAGTCTCCTCAGGCAATGAAACCTTTCGTAGCCCATCAGGAAGTTCCAAATCTGCCTCCAGAGCCCGCTACGGAGATGGAACCATTTCCACTCCAGCAGGAAGGCCCAGCTGAGACTTTGCAGATCACTGAAGAGGTTAAACCTCCAGTCCCAGAGGAGGTCCCATCTAAGCCTTCTGAACCCCCTCATAAGGTAGAACCTTCTCCAGTGCAACAGGAAACCCCATTTCAGACTCCAGAAATACTTGAGGAGAGTGAGCCATCGCTAACTGAGCAGGTGGCCCAGACTCAGTCTCTACAGCCACCTGAGGTAGTTCCAACTCCAAGTTCAGTGCATCATGAGATGACTCTTCAACCTCCAGGGCAGAATCAAATTCATCATTCAACCTTGCCCAATGTCACAATTAAATCAGTGGATGTGGAGCTTACCCTAACTCAAGTGCCTACTAAGGAAGTTCAGTCTTGTCCAACTCAGCAGGAAGCCACAGCTCCATCTCAGATGCCCTCTGAAGAGATTGAGCCTTTCCCAGTCCAGCAAGAGGTACCAGCTCACCCTCTAAAGCCCACTGAGGAAGTTGAGCCTTCTCCAGTCCAGCCGGAAGCCTCAGTACAGCCTATAAAGGCTCCCCAGCAGGACGGATCTTCTCCAGTTCATCAGGAAGCCTCAGCACACCCTCTAAAGGCTCCCCAGGCCAGCTGGAGGCTCCAGCTCACCCTCCTAAACCCTCTGTGGAGGTGGGACCTTCTCCAACGCAGCAGGAGGCACCAGATCACCCTCCTAAACACTCTGTGGAGGTGGGACCTTCTCCAGTCCAGCAGAAGATTCTAGCTCACCTTCCTAAGCCCTCTGAGGAGGTGGGACCTTCTCCAAACCAGCAGGAGGCAGCAGCTCACCCTCCTAAGTCCCCTGTGGAGGTGGGACCTTCTCCAACCCAGCAGGGGATTCTAGCTCACCCTACAAAACCTCCTGAGGAAGTTGGTCCTTCCCCGGGCCAGCAGTAGTCTTCAGCTGAGTCTCCAGAGCTCCCTGAGGAGTTTGAGCCTTATCCAACTCAGCAGGAATTCCCAGATCACCCTCCACAGCTTTCTGAGGACTTGGAACCTTCTCTGGTCCAGCAGGAAGCCCCAACACAGCCTCCAATGTCTCCAGAGTAGCTAGAGCCTTCTACAGGGCAGCAGGAGGCTCCATCTCATGCTTCAGAGCCCCCTGAGGAGTTTGGACCTTCTCCAATGCAGCAGGAAGGCCCAGCTCAGCCTCCAAAGCCCTCTGAGGAGGTGGAAACTTCTCCTGGCCAACAGGAAGCCCCAGGTGCAGCTCTAGAACACCTTGAGGAGATTGAACCACCTCCAATCCAGCTAGAGGCCCCAGCTCTCCCTCCAGAGCTTCCTGAAGAAGTGGAGCCTTCTCCAGTCCACCAAGAAGCCCCTGCACTGGCTCCTCTGCTTCCCCATGAGTTCAAACCTCCAACTGAGCAGGCAGCTGCTGTTCCACTTGCAGAGCTCCCTGAGGAAGGAGAACTTTCTCCAGTGCGGCAGGAAGTACCAGGAGAGCCTCCAAAACCATCTGAGGGTATTGAACCTTCTGCAAGTTACCAGGAGTTTCCAGGTGAGACTCTAAGTCTCCCTGAAGAAATTAAGCCTCCTTCAATAGAGCAAGAGGCCCCACCCGCTCCTCCAGAGCTCCCTGAGGAGAGTGAAACTCCAATCCGTCAGGAGGCTCCAGCTTTGTTTCCAGGGCCCCATGAGAAAGTCAAACCTCCAGTCCAACAGGAAACCCCAGCACAGCCATCAAATCTACCCCAGGAGGTTAAACCTCCAACCCAACAGGAGGCACCAGTTCAGCCTGCAGAGCCCATTGAGGAGGTTGAACCTTCTCAGATTTATCAGGAAATCCCAGTACAGCCTCCAAAGCCTCCCCAGGAGGTCAAACCTTCAACCCAGCATGAAGTCCCAGGATTACCCACAGAGCTCACTGAGGAGGTAAAACCTCCAGTCCAGCAGGAAACCCCAGCACAACCTCCTGAACCTCCTCAGGTTAAACCTCCAACACAGCATGAGGCCCCAGCACAGCCTTCAAAGCCCTCTGAGGGTATTGCACCTTCTCAAACTCAGCAGGAATTACCAGCTAAACCTTCAAAGCCCTCTGAGGAAAGCACACCTTCTCCAACCCAGGAGGAGGCCCCTGCTCAGGCTTCTCCAGTACAGCAAGGGGGTGCACATCAGCCTGTAAAACTCCCTGAAGATGTGGAATCTTCTCCAGCTCAGCAGGAGGCCCCAACCCAGCCTCATCTTTCAAACTTGCCCAATGTTACAGTTAAGCCT